TTGGTAAACTAATTTTTGGACAAATCATGTTTGGACTAATAATTGTTGGAAAAATTATTTTTTGACACATTGTTTTTTGGCCAATTATATTTCGACAAATTATTTTTAAAAATTATTTTTGGACAAATTATTTTTGAAAAACTTAATTTCGACTAATAATTTTTGGACAAATCCTGTTTGGACTAATAATTGTTGAAAAAATTAATTTTTGACAGATGGTTTTTTGACAAATTAATTTTCGACAAATTATTTTTCGACAACTTATTTTTGGAAAATTATTTTGGAACAAATTAACTTTGGACTAATTATGTTTGGTAAAATTATTTTTGGACTAATCGTTATTAAACTAATAATTGTTGGAAAAATTAATTTTTGATAGATTGTTTTTTAACAAATTATTTTTGGACAATTTATTTTTTAACAAATTATATTTCGACAAATTGCTTTTGGACAAATTATTTTTGAAACACTTATTTTCGGACAAATTAATTTTGGACTAATTATTTTTGGAAAATGATTTTTGGACAAATCGTTTTTGGACTAATAATTGTTGAAAAAATTAAGTTTTGGCAGATTGTTTAAAAATTGTTTTTCGACAAATTGTTTTTACAAATTATTGTTGGACAAATTATTTTTTGACAACTTATTTTTGGAAAAATTATTTTGGAACAAATTATTTTTGGACATATTAATTTTGGACTAATAATTATTGGAAAAATTATTTTTCGTAAAATTATTTGTGGACAAATCGTGCCCTATATCACACGCGTGTGAATAAGAATCCACTTCCACCCTTGTGTGAATATGAATCTACTTTCCACATAAGCTGTCAAATATGTACGGATAATTTCTATCTTGATTTATGTAAAGTCCATATAATAGTAAAACCGATTTGATGATTAAATTGTTAATATTAATTTAATATTCTGATTGTAGATATTTATTTTTAACAAATTATTAAAATAATTTTAAAGTAACTAAGTTATTTGTTTTTTTTTCTGATTCATTTACATATGTTATTAGATAATTCAAGTGACATAACCGTGATAGTTCAGTGCATAGTGTTTTTTAAATAGTCATTTCGCGACCATGTCACGACGCGGGTTCAATTCCAGATAGATGCAACCTTTTTTTTTTCAGAATTATTTTCAAACTATTATATTTTTTGAATACAAATAATTTTCATATATCATTAAATATTTTAACAAAAAGTGTCCAACATAAGATTTTCCGGTAAAGTTATCTAATTAAAAAGTTTTTAAAATGTAAATTAATGATAAGAATTGTTCAAAATATTTCTTCATTTCTTAATAACCTAAGAAAATACAGAGAAAATCAAATTAAAATGAAGTACAATGGGATGCAGAATATGATAGTAATATATTTATGACCAGATGAGTATTAATTTTAGAATAAGTTCATCAATAATGTTTTATAACATTGATTTACATTTGTTAACCAAATGAATTTCTTGATATTAAATTTATTGAATCCATAAATCTGATGCATTTCAATTAGAATGGATAAAAGAAAGCCAAAAGACAACAATACTACTCAAACCAAGAAGAGAAAATAGAACATTGTTATTAGATTTATTAAATCTATAAACACGATTGATCATATCTAAGACACCTAAAATGGGAGAAGCAAACAAATAGTTCAAAATAAAATAAATTTATCAGAAAAGTATTTCTGAAACCGCCAGAAGATAAAAATTTATATATTAAAATTGTGTTCTTCATATTTATATTTATGAATTAATTAAAATAATATCATATAATTGGTTTTGTTTAAAACTTTAATACCGGAGATTAGAATTTTTGGAAGAAAATCTTAAATTTGATTTGCAAGACCAATATCTTTATTAAATTATTACATTAATAATGTTAATATATTTAATAATTTTTATGTTTATTTTGATTCCTTTATATTTAAATTTATTTATACATTTAATAATAATAAATTATGAATTATATTTATTTATTAGGTTATGTGACGGAGATTAGTTATAATTATAATAATATACCAGGTCATGGAAATGATTTTATGTTAACATTATGATAAAATTTTTATTAACATTATTTATATTGATTCCTTTAACATTAAGTAGATTTTTTATTTTAACAAAATGGTATAAAATTAGGGCGTATATATAAATAAGAGAATAAAACTTTATTCTATAAAAATTGAGTTCTCTACAGTTAAATTTATGAATAACAGAGTGTTAGTTTCAGAATGGTTTCATCAATAATTTTAAACAGTATTCACACCAAACGATTGAAGGGTCATATAAACATCTGCCGTCAAAGAGTACACACATACATACACACCGAAAAATAAAAATAAATCTCTTACCCCAAGGGCGAAAAGGGTGCTTAGTTTGGAAGTATTGTGTCATTTCGATCCCTTTGATCGCATTTGCGTGGTTTGTTAAAGGTACAAAGCCTACAAAAGGGCATGTAACCTTAAGGTATGAACTCGATCTGTTGAAATTTTTCCGATATCTCTGGGTAATGTTTTAAAAATGTTTTGGATTACTTGATGGTTGATTTAAAGTAAGGGATCGCCCAGACAAGAAAAATTATGGAGAAAAATCATTTAATATATAAAACAAATTCATAAATTCTTTTGCCAAATCGTACTATAGTGATATTAATTATATTTATTAATGATATTAATAACATTAATGATATTAATGATATTAATGATATTAATGATATTAATGATATTAATGATATTAATGATATTAATGATATTAATGATATTAATGATATTAATGATATTAATGATATTAATGATATTAATGATATTAATGATATTAATGATATTAATGATATTAATGATATTAATGATATTAATGATATTAATGATATTAATGATATTAATGATATTAATGATATTAATGATATTAATGATATTAATGATATTAATGATATTAATGATATTAATGATATTAATGATATTAATGATATTAATGATATTAATGATATTAATGATATTAATGATATTAATGATATTAATGATATTAATGATATTAATGATATTAATGATATTAATGATATTAATGATATTAATGATATTAATGATATTAATGATATTAATGATATTAATGATATTAATGATATTAATGATATTAATGATATTAATGATATTAATGATATTAATGATATTAATGATATTAATGATATTAATGATATTAATGATATTAATGATATTAATGATATTAATGATATTAATGATATTAATGATATTAATGATAATAATGATATTAATGATATTAATGATAATAATGATATTAATGATAATAATGATATTAATGATATTAATGATATTAATGATATTAGTGATATTAATGATAATAATGATATTAATGATAATAATGATATTAATGATATTAATGATATTAATGATAATAATGATATTAATGATATTAATGATATTAATGATATTAATGATAATAATGATAATAATGATATTAATGATATTAATGATATTAATGATATTAATGATATTAATGATATTAATGATATTAATGATATTAATGATATTAATGATATTAATGATAATAATGATAATAATGATATTAATGATATTAATGATATTAATGATATTAATGATATTAATGATATTAATGATATTAATGATATTAATGATATTAATGATATTAATGATATTAATGATATTAATGATATTAATGATATTAATGATATTAATGATATTAATGATAATAATGATAATAATGATAATAATGATAATAATGATAATTATATTAATTATAATAATTATATTAATTATATTAATTATATTAATTATATTAATTATATTAATTATATTAATTATATTAATTATATAAATTATATTAATTATATTAATTATATTAATTATATTAATTATATTAATTATAATAATTATAATAATTATATTAATTATATTAATTATATTAATTATATTAATTATATTAATTATATTAATTATATTAATTATATTAATTATATTAATTATATTAATTATATTAATTATATTAATTATATTAATTATATTAATTATATTAATTATATTAATTATATTAATTATATTAATTATATTAATTATATTAATTAATTATATTAACGATATTACTGATAAATTGAATTAAATTAAATAAAGGTTAATAAAATATTTTAAAGTTAATACAAAGTCTAACTTTGAAGCTTAAAAGTTTATGTAATTCAAATTATTAAAATAAATTTTAAAAAATATTGCTCAATTATTAATAATTATTAATTAACTTCTTTTTTAATTAGAGTATTATATTAAATTCATGTAAATTGTTTAAATTTTATAGATTTATTTAAATTTTCATTTATTTTAAATATTAAAGCAGAAAATGTAATTACAATATCAAAATTTTTTGTAAATAATATAAAAACAACAAAAATTAATATAAAAATGTATAAACCTTAAAAAAATAAAAACAAATAATATTTGATTTGATTTTAATGAATTAAATAACTGATTAAAATAGGCAATATTTAAAAAATTCAAGTTACAATAATATTTCCTTACTGCTTACTATCCTGATCACATTAATTGGTATAAAAATTGTTTTACCTGCTTTTTGTAAAAGACGTCTCAATTGTTACAGGATCCCACGTGTACAAAATGGTAAGTTGCGCACCCTTCTACGTTCGAAAAACCATCCCTTATTCTGACAGTACAAATCAAAGTCAGTACCTATCCGTCTGCCATCGTGGCATTATCTGTTGCTTTGCTATATGCAAGGCAAAGCGCGCCGTGTTGCCTGTTGTTCGCCTAACTGCTAGGCAGAAATGATTTGATGCATAGCTGTCTATTTTCGCGTTATAGTGCTTATTAATGATGATCTAGTGATCTGTGTTACAGTGCAAAGTCCTCTATGGTGTAGTGTGCCCTGGTGTCTTTTTTATTGGATAATAACAAGCGCTGTCATTTTTAGGTGTAACTTTTAGAATAAGGCTGTTTGGAGTTCAAAATTCAGAGTCATGGATGTGCTTCAAAAAAACGTAATTATACTATTTTTTATTACGAAAATTTTAATTTTTTTATTTTTATTTACTAAAAAGTAGATAAGTTTTCTGATTTTTAAAATTTTTAATTTTAAATAGTTAGTTTGATTAGTTATTTTCGAAAAATGAGAGCGTTTTGTAGATATTTCTATAATTTTATGTTTTGGTATTGATGAATATAGAAATCATATCATTCTAGATATGTAATGTGATTTTTAGGTTAAAATAATTATGTAATGGTGTGTATTTATCGATAAAAAGACAGAATGATAAAGAAATCTTTGGTAATGCGAAACTTATTTTGACTTTGATAAAATCGCATGAAATGAACCAATATTGGGTACTTTTAATGCTTCTTTTCATTTTGTTCATTATGTATGTGTCTCATAGTTTGATTTTTACAAAATATAGTTAATCTCAGCAACAAATTTCCTCTTTATCCAGAAAATATTTTAGATTTAAATACATCCACGTTATAAGGAATTTTATGCTCTTTTAAATGGTGAAAAAAGCGATTTTTTTATCTTTTCTTTAAGATTCATTTTTAAATATTGCGATCCTCTGCGAAAACCTGAAAGAAAATTAAGGTTAAAAATGTCCATTCTAATTGAATTTTTTAAATTTTTTTCAACAGTAAAATCATTATTTCACTATCTTTTCTTGTTTTTAAAAATTTACGTTATAATTCCGGAACAGTTGTATATGAATTATCATAATATGTAACTAAAAGAAATTTAAACAGAAATTTTTATTTGGCATTGCTTAATACTGATGTTTTGGTAATAAAAATCACTATCACTGCATTGTTACTTAGTGACAGACATGAGCAAATAATTTAGGAGAGTTATTTAACGAAAAATTAGTGACAGGACTTTCCAATCTATCCTACTCACTTATAAGGATCTCTATTATTCCTACGAGCAGAGCATGTCTTTCCTACCACAAGCTCCTTAGCTATATAGCAATCGCCCAGTCTTATAGACATATTATAAATAAAATTTCCGATCTGCCTTCATAAATATAATGAATTAAAATTATACCAAATCAAAAATTAATTATAAGACACCACACGTTTATAAAATAATAATAATACCGCATGTTGAGTGACATGCGTCTCATTTTAAATAAATTTTAATATTAATTAGAATGAGATTTGCATATCTGAACGTGGTCCTGGCACGAAATTTCCAAAAATAATTCCTGTGTCGGTTTATATCTAAAAAAGAGTTAATTACTAGTTCTCTACCTAAACTAATTATGAATATTTTAAGGCGAATATGCAAAACGAACCTTTTATCAGAGGCAGACATATTCATTTTGAATTTAAATATTTACATCACGTGAAAAATACGATACGAGTGAATTAAATCAAGGCTGGTAGACGAAAGGAAAAGGATCGGTCGAAAGAAAATTCAGGAACGAAATTTTTTATAAAAAAAGTGTATTGTGCGAATCAAATTTGGAATATTAATTAATTATACACTCTTGGAAATGTTTGATTAAAATTAGTGCAGTACTATTTCTATTTTAAGTAAATTTGCACTGCACTGGAATAATCCCATAAATCTTAAAAAGTAGAAAAGGTAGAAAATCGCTCGTTACATCATTAGAAAGAGCAGACAATTTTCCACAAAATAAAGTATTCTTAAAAATGAATTACTTTACAATTCCTTAAAAATTCGAAAAATCCCATAGTTCGTATATTAAATTTACACCTGTTTGGAATTATCCCATAAATCTTAAAAACTAAAAGATACAGAATGTTGCTCTTTACACCATTAGAAAGAGCAGATAATTTTCCTTGAAATAAGGCATTTTCAAAATTGAATTACTTTCCAATTACCCAAAAATTCGAAAAATCCCATAGTTCGTATATTAAATTAACACCTCGTTGGAATTATCCCATAAGTGTTAAAAACTAAAAGATACAGAATGTTGCTCTTTACACCATTAGAAAGAACAAAATAAGGTATTTTCAAAAGTGAATTACGTTACAATTACTTAAAAATTTGAAAAATCCCATAGTTCGTATATTAAATTTACACCTCTTTGGCTAGTGAACCATTGATTGTTTTTTGAAAATCGTCAAATTTTTGTCAATATCGGCCGACGAGGGCATAGTGCAAAGTTGAACTCGTTCCTCTATACCATTAGCAAAAAGGGTATTGATATTATCAATTTTGTTATTTAATAATTTCATTGTTTAAGGTTCAGAATTATTAGGTATTTTTAATGTGTAAAATTCCTTTAAAATCGTCGAGAAACAAATAAAAATCGGTACTCACTGCTGATAACAAACCAGTTTGAATCGATCACTCAGAGATACACAGACTAGGTGCACTACTATTTCTATTTTTAGTAAATTTGCACTGCACTGGAATAATTCCATAAATCTCAAAAACTAGAAAAGGTAGAAAATCGCTCGTTACATCATTAGAAAAAGCAGACAATTTTCCACATAATAAGATATTTTTAAAAGTGAATTTTGTTACAATTCTCTAAGAATTCGAAAAATCACATAGTTCGTATTTTAAATTTATACCTCTTTGGAATTATCCCATAAATCTTAAAAACTAAAAGATACATAATAATGCTCTTTACACCATCATAAAAAGCAAACAATTTTCCACAAAAAAGGTATTTTTAAAAGTGAATTCCTTTACAATCCCCTAAAAATTCGAAAAATCCCATAGTTCGTATATTAAATTTACATCTCTTTGGAATTATCCCATAAATCTTAAAAACTAAAAGGTGTATAATGTTGCTCTTTACACCATTAGAAAGAACAGACAATTTTTCACAAAATAGGGTATTTTTAAAAGTGAATTACTTTACAATTACCTAAAAATTAGAAAAATCCCATAGTTCGTATATTAAAATTACATCTCCTTACAATTATCCTATAAATCTTAAAAACTAAAAGATATAGAATGTTGCTCTTTACATCATTAGAAAGAGCAGACAATTTTACACAAAATATGTATATTTAAAGAGGTAATTCTATAAAATTTGCTCTGAAATTATAATCCCATAAATCTCATAAACTGGAAAATATATTAAAGCATATTCTAAACCAATGAACCAATTTTTTTGAATTATAAATTTTTTCCTCGGAATTTTCACAGATGCTTAAATATTTTTTTTTAATATAATTGTATTATATTTTCGCTTGTTTAATAATTACAAAAAAAAAATTGGAGTAATGATTTTATAGCGTTAATATTATTAATTACATACCTAATTTATAGATGGCGATAAATCATCTTTTTAATGAGATTTGTAGTGTTTTCATTTATACACTTTTTAAATAGGTGAATAGTAATTACTGTAAATTATAATAATATGACAATAAATCAATTTCTTCCGAAAGAACTTTATCATAGAAATATTAATTTTAAGACTTATTTTTTATTTCAAACAAAATAAAAATTTTAATTTTGACCAATTATTTATTATAAAACTTAAGAGTTACTTAAGTTTCACTTTTCTAAGCCTTTCGGAGAACTTGAAATAATAATTATTTAAATTTTATATATAAAAAAAAACAATTTGAATATCTCGATCCATTAGATTGAATGATTAGAAAAAAAAACTTTTAATTTATCGAAAGTCTGAATAAATGAAATTTTTATGTAAATTAGGATTAATATAAGTTGTTTTTTTATATTAATGAATGTCCAATGATGATTCTTGAAATATTACATCAAATTTCATTGTACATAAGAACTTTTAAAATTTTAAAACATGAATTGAATATTTCACATTATATTCAAATGAAATCAGACAGTTTCTGAGGACATTAGAAACGTTTTAGAAGAAATATTGGATATTAAGACTAAAACGTATAAAAAATATGAAGGACCTGTACTAAATTATATAATTATATTCAAATTTAAATAGATAAAAAATAATATTCACAGAAATGTGTCTAGCATCTGATTAGTTTTGTAGAAAATATTTTTGAATTCCATGGAAAAATTTTATAATTCCTAATTATAGAGGTATACAATATACCTGTTAACGATAAACTTCAAAATATTTGCAAGGATAGACAATATTAATAAATATTTATTATATTTTAGAATGTTTATAATGACAGATATTTTATATTTTCAACAGAAAATGTTTTCCATTCTTTTGAGAAAATTGACACGAATGCTTTTTATTTCATAGGACATTTCTATCTCTTTTCATTCATTTGATTTACTGTTAGAACTGTAGTGACATATTTTCTGGAATTAATAAAAAAAATAATATTAATTATTATTTATTTTATGGAAAATATCTTCAATTTACACAAAAGTAATTACAGTCTGTTCGCTATACTTACGCGGGTTTCGGATTAAAAATTTTATGAGTATTTCCAGGTAAATACCCGAAAGTTTGACCTGTTCTTTGGGGAAATGAAATGAAAAATAATGTACAACTTTTTAATTAAATAATAATGGAGAATCTTTTGTATAATTGAGAACAGAATTAAACTTCTTCATTAATGGAATCTAATGTGGCTATTATAAACCTAATAATAATTATTTTATATTACACTTCACACAGAAAATATGGTCTATGTATAATAAGAGGGTTATTTAGCTCAAATAAAATATTTTCTAACATAAAAATTTGTTCGATGTAGAGAATTTCAAATGAAAAATGAAAAAATTGAACTTGCCAACAAATGAAAATCAGCCATTATCATCCAAAATATCATAATCGTCATCATCATCACTGTCATCACCATTAATTGTTATTATGATTGGACTTATTTTATTTTCACGAGTCCACCAATCTTCTGTTAGTTTCTCGCACTTGGATATACAGTTCCGCCACACTTCTGGAGTTGCAATTGAAAGTGCTTTTCGCCAAGTTTCCCGAACTGCGTCGTCACGATAACCATTAGGCCCAATATGGTTGTCATAATATTGTTTTGCTATTCCCCATATACATATATTCAAAGACGTAAAACTTGATGACAGTAACTTTTAATAATCTGATCCACAACAAAGGTTTTTGGTTTTACGTGTATATTTGCCAAGCTTAATAATTCTATTTTAATATATATTCAGGAAATGGTATATGTTCCTTTGTCAACTATTCTTTAATTTTATCAACAGTCCAAGAATTCGTTGGACTTTTGTTAAATACTTCAGAATAGTAAGGTGCATTGTCTAAAATAATTACGCTGGGCTCACTTAAACCTGGGAGAAGTTTTTCCTGCAACCATTTTACAAACATTTCTGTGATAGTCACTGGATTTTGATTTAGATGAAAATATTAAATCAGCACCTTCTATAAAACCCGATTTCCCTCCTGCATGTAAAATTAAGTGTCGCTTCCCTTCTCCATCGGTATGTTTGATGGACTTTACGTTATCATCTTGCCATATTCTCTTGGTTGCACCCCTAGAAAATATCCATGTTTCGTCTAAATATATAAAATTCGTCCCTTCTTTTTTAAATTTAGAATATTTTCTTAGAAATTTAATCCTCTTGTTCACGACAGAACTTCTTTCACAAAGGGCCCTTCTGTTATCCTCCTTTTGAAATATGAAACCCAAGTTATGTATCACTTGCCATAGACTTGTTCTGCCAATGTCGTCAAATTTTATATCTATTAATTCCGAGAGAATTGTATTTAAGGTCACTATGTTTCTTGTTGGCCCTCTTTGGATAAATGGTATCACGAATTTTAAATTTCTTTCCATCTGGAATATCTTTCGTTTTCAATGATGGGCGAGTTTTGCGGTGATCTTCTTTCGGCAGTTCACTATTGTGATTTTGCAATACTCCTCTTAATTTGGTTTCACTAATTCCTAGAGCATCGCGTACGCGTTGTTGTACAGACATTACCGATTTTAAAGAACCGCCATTTTCTTTTTTATCCGTAAAATACTTATGTACACTACAAATTAGACTATCTACATCTAACACATGTTTAGGCATTTTTAAAATTTCTATTACATTTACAATATACATACAATGTCAACACAAAGAATCAATTCAACTGCAATATTTGTAACAAATTTAGTACCTACCCTAATGTTATTTTAATTTAAATCTGACCATTAGGGCAATTTTACCTAATTTCTTTGGAAGTGGCTTATTGGAACTGGTTGTCAATGACTAATTTGCATAATTTTGTTAATCCGAAACCCGCGTAAGTATAGCGAACAGACTGTAAATCCGTAATTCCTAAAAGTAGAAATAATCAATTCCTGGAAAGATTTTAAATCAATTTGAAAACTTTATTGCCTAAATAATATTTCTTCTTTTCCTTTAATTGACATCAATATTCCTGTACAAATAACCCAGCAACTAATAATTTCATTAGGCAAAAACAAAACGAATCGCCTAAAATTCATTACACATAATGAACACTATGTTGATATCACTAATAAATATAATTCTAGGACTGCAATATGTCCACCTTATCTTCAAATGGCAAAGCAATGCTAACCCCAGTAATGGTGACAATTTTTATGACTGCATTAGATCCTTGTAGTACAAATTACGTTGATTATTAAAAAATTAGCACTTTAGAAGCAGTAATAGTCAAATAGTAGAAAAAATACCATATAACTTGTTACGTTTCAAAGAAAATAACCCAGAAGTTGCCCCAGTTGTATTTAAGAAGGAAAAACATTTCCATTCCTAATAATATTCATTTAGTTAATCCTAATTTCCATATATGTATAATACAAATCCTTAAGAACTTCTTGATTTTGATTGAAATGCTCTTCCAAAGCCAGATTATTCTTCTGGGCCCTTAGAATGATATGTAGCAAAGCATGTCTGGTTGGACAAGAGACTTCAACAGCAAAGCTGGATGTTTTCGGCCAGAAGCAAAGAGTTGACAGTAAACCTGTTCTCGATCTTATAAGCAACCTAACCTGTTCTAATCTTGGTTCAAACTTCTTTGCGATTTATAGTAGAAGATACTATACCACAAAAAGCCATTTCTAACAGTTTGGGTGCTGAAATATCTATAACAATTATTCAATAATCATGCCCAGCACTTGATTCTTAAGATATTCTACAAATATTCTGGATAATAGAAGACAATTTTATTTCTGATGATATTGATTATATTAAATACTTTCATATCCACCCCAAAAGTGTTTTAATCAGTATTTTACTTTACATAGATCAGTTCGTCTCAAACTATAAATTAAAGTCCCCTCTGTATGTATTTAGAAGACCACACTCGATAGTCGATAACAAACCAATTGACAGTCATATTTAAAACAACTGATTCGGTTTTTATTGTTCTATAAACTAATTTGTGAACAGTAAAACGAATTATATAGACATAAAATTTAAAAGTATTGCCCTGTGTTTTGGATTAGATACGGTCTTGGTTGGTCTTGCTTGGTCTTGGCTTGTCTTCTTTATGCACACACACACATATAAGTACTGGTCGCAAAAACATTACTACCAACTACTGGGTTACGTTCCCTAATAACCGTATTGTTTTACTGTCTTTTTTTATCTTGGTTAATTATTTAAATTGAAAAGTTAAACGGGTCAGTCTTAGTTAGGTTTATAGTTTAATTTTTTCTTACCATACACTTTTATTAGGTTTTTTAAATTTAATAAAATAATATAAGAGGTGCGCCATTTTTTTAAGTTGTTTTCCTGTTTCTCACAACCAAATAAAGGAATTTCTGCTTTTCCTAACTGTAAATACTACACGTTTCTTTTTTTTTAAATCTTGAGGCACATACAACATATTCAAAATATAACCTAACTTTTTTATGACTAATATTCCGATAAATATAAAAATTAAAAACAGATCAGCAATATCAAATTTTGTTAAAGCTGTTTCAGTAAAAGTAAGAACATCCATTATATGACATGTTATGTATTGAATGGAGTTCCTCAGGACTCGAATTTGAGCCCCATTATTGTTGGCTATTTTATTAAAGATATTCTTTTCTTAAAAGAGAATTCAAATTGAACTTTAAATGAAAGCATCCTTCAGGTAATTCTGTTTTTAGGGTTCAATTATGAAATTGGCCCTTATTAATGTATATTTGAACCCAAATTGATTCCTTTTCATTCCATATAAATATCTGACTTCACAATATAGGATTTAGAGGATTTTTGTTCAATTGTATACCTAAATTCCTCAGTAAAAGAAAAATCTCAGTCAAAATCAAGAATTTATTATCTAAATCATATGATTTCAATATGGGAGTCCCTCAAAGGTTTTTCCTGGTACCGCTTATTATTTTATCATTCATAAATGATGTACCTGAGAATATTAGTTCTAAAATATTAGTATTTTACACTGATGATACCTCATTAGCGGTAATAATGATTATTATTAAAAAATAATACAAATTTTGATTATCTAATTTATAATTTTGAATTTTCTTTTTTCAGTACGACGATGGTATCCATCCGGGGTATATGGATGGGGCGACCGGGGGCATGTACGAACCGCACGTGGCCCACCGACCCAGCTTACCAGGTCTGCACCACTCCCCCCACCTGAATCACGCCATGCACCCCTATCACTCCAACCATGTCAATCCTACGGCCAACCACGTCATGGGCGGAGCCGTCCCTGACGTGGGGAAGAGAGATAAGGACGCTATTTACGGGTAAGTCCTTCGAAATTTCCTACTTCAACCACTTAGCCAACCCGATTTGATATAGCACGATTTTTAGGTTATCTACGGTTTTTTGATTGGATTGAGTTCACAAGTGATAAGTGATCAAAAATAGTAAAAAAACAATGGTAAATAAGTATCAAAATGGAGTAAATTAACCATATAACGTCAAAACCGAAGAGCGAACTCAATATTAGTTAATATAGTGAGGTAATTAAGTATGAAAATAGCATAAAAAGGGGTAAAAATTGACACAGATCATTAGAAGTATGAAAAAAGACTGGTAAATGGGGTATAGAACGTCAAAAAAGGTAATTAAGTATCAAAATAGCATAAAAGGGGGTAAAAATTGACAAAAATCATTAGACGTATGATAAAAGACTGGTAAATGGGGTATAGAACGTCAAAAAAGAAATAGTCTAAAATGTTAAAAAGGCTGGGAGATATTAAAATTTACGAATTTTCGTTAAAAAATGCTAATAAATAAAAAAAAATGAGCCACCGCAGTCACCTGATTTAACCCAATGTGACTTTTTAAATCTAATAAAACAGATAACGCGCAGACCAGATTTAACTGTTCGATTTTTTTATAAACTTAACCCAATCTGACTTTCAAAAAAATATATCGAATTACAGCCACCGCGCAGACCGGATTTAAACACGTTCGATTTTTTTAAACGTTTTAAAATAAACCCGACGATATCGAAACGTACTAAATCGTTATCTGTAAAAAGCATACTCGAAAAAAAAATCAGTTCCCGAGATTGCATTTAACCCCGTCGACCCTTTGAGAGAATTTTTTGAAAGATTACCCGAGACCATCTGTGCATCCATAAACTAATAATAATAAAAGAGCATCGCGTAGCAAACAAGCGAAGTGCGGCGGTCGCTGGAAGTTATCTAGACGGCTGTGACCCGTGAATTATCTACACAGAAAATGGCACGTCATAAAATATAATATCGAATGGTGACCGATTTGATAGACAGACACCTCTCTCTTCATTCATGCGGTCAAAGCGTAGTAAATTTGTACGAGGTTTTGATTTATTTAGCAAAAAATTATAAATAAAGTCGGGATTTAAAAAAGGGGAGTGCTGCAAGGTACGTACCTGAGACCGCTTATCGGTTTGGAGCTGTAAATGATCTAGTTAACGTTATAGAATGGAATATTCGATGTTTCATTGTATACGTATTTGGTTAATATAATTATTAAACGTTAATTGGCAATCAAAAATAATACCAAGATCACTGATATTTTCAGTACGTTCCAATGTTACATTGTTATAGTCTATTTTTATGTATGAGAGAGTAACTAAAACAGCATTTCTAATACAAAACTTAGTACGGTCATTTTAAATATTTTTACAGAATAATCTAAATATTTCCTAAAATTGTAATAAATGTACCTGAGCTATTACAAGTTTTGGGTCTTTTATTGGTCCTTTATAAACATAAGCTGTACAGAACAATAGAAAAAGGTTTGGACAGGCCAAAAGCCCTGTGTATTAAAGATTACATAGCCGTATCTTAAGATTATTTTCAATAAGTACCTATTTGCCAATTTTGTTTTCTTTTAATTTCAAGAATTTCTTACAGTAATCGAATTATAAGTAGATAAATACCTTCCCAACAAATTTCACCAAAAATGCGATCATAGGTTTTCCATTTAGTAAGGAGGTCCAAGTTGTGTATTCTTGATAGTTTACTAAATGTCGTTTAGTTGCAACTTGCAAGGTGCAGTGTGAATTCTAGTGTGATCATGGAAAATTTGGAATTGCCTCGTAAACGACAAAAAATCGGTCCTTTAACAGTTAATGGAAAAACATTAATATTTAATTGTTTTAAATCATTTACAGACAAACATTTTGTAAAAGTGTTGATGACACAGTGGAATTAGTTAGTAGTACGCTTGGTGTTGGGAAATCTATGATTTACAGAGTTGTTAAAGAAGAGAAATGTGGCAAGTTTCAAACAGCACGTAAAGCTCCAGGAAAACCAAAATTTCAATTAAAAAATCTTTTGAAAGAAAGACTTCGAAGGAAAGTGCATGCGTTCTTCTTTAGAAAAGAATTTCCGACAGTAGACAAAGTTCTTGCCACGGTTCGAGATGATAAGGATTACCCTGAAATGAGTCGAAGCACACTATGGAAACTTTTAAAAGAAATAGGTTTTCTATGGAAAAAGCATTCCAGAAAGTCTATTTTAATAGAAAGAAGCGATATTGTAGTATGGAGAAGAAATTACCTATAAGGACTATAAAAGAAATGAGAAACCAAAGAAGTAATATATTTTATTTAGATGAAACATGGATCAACGAGGGACATAAACCAAATAAATTTTGGCAAGATGAAACTGTTATAAGTCGAAGACATGCTTTTTTAAATAATTTATCTACTGGTTTAAATCCACCATCAGGAAAGGGGCGCAGACTAATAATAGTACACATCGGTAGTTCAAACGGTTTTGTTAAAGGTGGTTTATTGACTTTTAAATCTATTCGTACCGGTGACTACCATGAGGACATGAATGCTGATGTCTTTAAAGAGTGGTTCGAACAAATTATAGATCTTCTTCCTCAGAACTGTATAATAGTAATGGATAATGCAAGTTGTCACTCGAGACTTATAGAAAAAGTGCCCACAACCAAGTGGTTAAAAAAAGATTACAGAATTGGCTAAATTCAAAGAATATTAAGTTCCATCCCGGTTCTGTGAGAAAAAAACTGTATCATTTGTGTTCCCTTCATAAAGAGAAATTAAAAAAATATGAAATTGATGAAATTGCAAAAAATCGTGGGATGACGGTGGTTAGATCACCACCATATCATTGCGAAGTAAACCCGATTGAACTGATATGGGCACAGATAAAGGGAGAAGTTTCAAGAAAAAATAATTCTTTTATATATTTTTCGACGTTTTTACTCAATTTGTTGTTTTTCTCAAAAACGAAGCATTTTAATGAAAAATTTTGCTGGACTTTTTTTGAAGAACAAATGATGTTTAATCGATTAGGTCTTTATATATTTTTTGCAAATGAATATATTTTGCGGTTTTTCGTATTTTACATAAAAATCAAGCATTTTGGTAAAAAATTTCATCAGAATAAAGTTGTAAGGCGAAAAATTTCCTATTTTCCGGAAACCTAAAGTTTCCGCTACTACAGCGCTTGCGCAGGAAGTGAGAGTCGTAATTTTTTGTCTAAACTTTTTGAAAATATAAAAATACCATTAAATATGTTTCGAAAAAAATTTTGTTCTAATAAGAAACATCTAAAAAATAAAATTTATTTTGAGAAAAAACAGTAGTAGGTAACATGTTTCCTAACAAAAAATATGTACTTAATAATCATAATAATGATATAATTTCTTCAAATATTAACAAAACACCTGTTAAATAGCGTTAAAAAGTGTTAAACACTTAATTCTCGTCAATAATGTTTGAAATGACTAAAGACAACACAAAACAAGTGACCTGACCACTCTCCCGGTTGTCTAGTACTACGAAATTGACTTCTAACATCAATATTTAAACACTCTCGACACTACTGTTGGCTGTTTATTTAAAGGTGCAAGAAATTTCCAACTGCATACAGAAACGCTTTTTTATATTAAGTCAAACACCAAAGGACTTTAAATCGTAAATCTGAACCACACCGAGGAGTCCATATGGTTTTAGTTAAGTGAGAACGCAAAAAAAGAAATGTAGGCTGCCGAAAATAATTTGGGGTTTCGTTAACGAGACACCAAAGGCGTGCAACGGGGTTTTACGGATATACCGCAAATCAAAATTTAACTGCTTTTTATTCTTTCTGTGAAGTTTGTTATAATCAACTACAGTTTGTAAAATCTAAGATCAAACCTGCCCTTTTCCTTTCTTTGCTTTAATTCATAGACATTCTTATTTATATCTATTTTATTTGTAAATAAACATCTATTAGTAAAATTTAAATTAGAAAATATTTTTTTATTAAACAATATTTTTAATAAATCAAAAAGTGTTTGTATAGATTCATCCTCTTAACATTGGGAAGAAGTATAACTTACAAAAATACAATTTAAAAAAAATAAACAATTATTGGCTGGAGGACCGGTAATTTATAATTAAAAATTATTATTTTATGCTGTATGCAATGAAATACTGTACGCCTATGAAAACTATCACAATACCCATATTAAAATTGTTTATTACTTTCTCTATCTTTTTCTGTATTCGAAATAGGAAATATAAGAAATATATATCTGGGAAATATGTTTTTTCTGGAGTACGCCACTGATTTTGATGTCATGACGACCCGAGATCATTAAAATTATTTATTATTCTTTCTCTCTTTTTCTGTGTTCGAAATAGGGAATATAAAACGTAAATATCTGGGAAATATGTTTTTTTCTGGTGTACGCCACTGTTTTCGACGTCATGACGACCCGAGATCCGCTACATGATTATAATGTAACAATATTATTAATATGTGATCAATCTACAGATAAGGACTTATTAAAAAACGTTATATTATAAAAGCGTGATATGAATTTATAAGCCCGAAATATCGGCTACCACATTATATATATTATTATGTAACCCACCTATAGTACGACGAAACATTCAGTGTATAATATTAAGTGTAATTTCCCTACACTTAATTAAAAATGAAACGTCACTGTTAATTTAAAAGTTTCTGAATTCTTTGTCTTAAAAGATATGTTTTAATTTCGTTCTCCTAAATATTTTTAAGTAAATAATAATTGTTACTCCTGTTTTTTATAGAAATGTATTTAATACATTCTATTTATACAGCGGGAACACCTCAAGGTTTGGTTTAGAACCCAATAGTATTGTCTGTCGTTATTAAAGAATTAAAAATTATTTTGCTATTAAAAAAAAAACAAATCTTTGGACAATTCAAGATTTTTAAAACATTTTATAACATTTTTTTGTGTTTCATGGCATAATTATAAAAAAACTTGATTCTACGCTCTCAACAGTATGCCATTAAAG